GGCGTGTGAAGAGTGAGCTGAGGGCGGACGTGGTCGTTATCATTCGGGTGACATCTCAGCACATGCGGAGCAGGCCCAGCTGTTAAGGAAACCACACAGGTGACGCTCAACGTGCAACGCAGTACTCACTTTCATGAGCCTGGCAGGTGGAGGTGCACTGATGTTTAACGTTTGCAATTCGTGTACAAATTTACCAATAACTGCCGAATACTCGGCGTTTTGGGGTCTGTCAGGACCTGGCAACTATGATCGACAAGATGGAGGAAGATAGGTGGACGGATGGAGAGATCGGCACGGTAAACAGATAGCTTACCTTTTTAGAGACTGTGGTAGAATTATGGGGAAAATTATGTTATATGTGTTATTGGTCACAATATTTTAAGGCTATAGACCTGTGCAGTTTTCACGGCCCGATCTGTATCGGTAAAAACAGCAGATTGTGGCACATATCCAAGAGAAGTAGCGGAAAAAATGACATCAGCTGCTTAGCGAGCTATTACTACCGTTTATATGCATTTATATGCTTATATGCATGTGTTGCGACCGCATCGTAATTTGTGGGCGGTTCGTTCACCTACAAGCCATAACGGGTTTCAGATATTTACATTTTCAGGTTGATCTAATCCGACATCAATTTCTAATACTAATTCTAAGAAAAACCTGAAAGTTGACCGGTACGTACTTCTTCCAGGATTGCGTGCAATGCATGCAGTCATCGAGCCACATTTTGCAAGGGTCATTTTCCGTTCTCTCTGCTGTTTATTATAGTTTTTGTCTTGCCGCTGCGGCGCCTGGTCGCCAGGTCGTGGATCTGCCTCCTACTCAACTTCTTCAGCTTAACCGTGATCGGAAATTTTCTGATGTAGATGTTCGTAGACCGTGGAAGTGAGAAAGTGGTGACATTGCAACGCCGCGGGATTAAGCCGCGTGATCAAACAACATGCATGTAAGTGCCTCCAGGCTGGCGCAAAACAAACTCTAAGGAAGTGTGCTGATTGTTAGTGCCAAAAGATTCACCTTGCAACCAGTGATCGCAAAGATATAGACCCTTCCCAACCGCGACTGGTCTGGGCGGGCCGCTGAAACCGCAGCATTTCTCGTCAGTTGGCGATCAGACCAGCTCGGCCTGCGCCGCGCCGCACCGCTGCAGCACGCTCGGGCCAGTACGGGACGCGGATCTCGACGGGTGGAGATGGGTCGTGCCTCACGTCGAGGGACGCTTTACACCGCTTTACCGTGCCGCGAGACGGTTCGTTCTCCGAAATATCCACTTCATTTGCCTATTATATAGTCCGTTTTCCAACCTGCATGAGGCTTGTTATTATGAGGGACAATGAAACTGGGACATGGGCTTACCCCGCCAGTGAAATGCTTTATGTAGGAAACGAAATATCGTGCGGCATTGGGGAAAGATAGGAGAGCATCTTGCACTTTACAGCAATACTGGACACCAAAAATCAGTAGGTCTAGGTCCGATTGTACCTGTCAGTTGGACCACGATATCGTTTTAGATAGTTATGCAGCGTAAGAAATTATTTAAATGACAAACTATACTAGTGCATTGAGCCTCCAAGAAACAGAACTTTTCAAAGGCCGAGCAAGCGGCTCACTGACGACGTCAAAAGTTGAATGACCACCAAGAGAATATCAATTTGGAAGTGACTTCTGATTCCGGCCCAAATTATCCCGGAGCGGAAAACGTGCGGCGGCAATGCGCGCGAAGCCCGCAACACCTATCCCGTGCCAACTCCGATATCCCGAACGGGCCGAAAATTAATGTGCACTGTTCACTGGTGGCGAGGACGAATCGCAGGCGGTGAGGAATGCCGATCCACGCCACACGAAATCGCATCAGAGCAGTGACTCACAGCTCATCTCTGTCCCTCTGTCGCCACCGCTGTTGCACCACGCAGCCCTTCGCACAAGGGCCATGAGTCAGGGCCATTATCGGAGCTCACTCGCGAACATGTCGCCCAACGACCCGATACGGCCCGGGCTTCCGCCCGCCTATCGCCGTGCTTATCGCCGTACTCGGCACAAAGACGGATGCGTCATAAACGGCTTAGGCTCGCAGCGACGCAAAAACACCTTCGCCACTAGCTTGCTCCCGTCGTTTATGAGCTTTGGCAGACTGTGGAAGATCACGGGTCGAGGAAAAAAGCCCGTCACAAGCCGGCCCTGTCAGCATCGAGATGCGGAGTTTAATAAGACGATTTAAAACATGTAGACGCGACTTAGGCTTCGTCATAGGCCTGTTGGGGCTATTAGTCACCTTTACCAGTCACCTTTTTGTCACCACTTAGTCACCAAATATTTGAGCGCACGTGACAGTCAAATGCGCCGGCGCTATTTCGCATATTTAGATGACTTTTAGAACTACGACCTGCGGCAATGATCTTTTAAATTCAAATATCGGCCATCGGCTTACCACAGATGATTTTGTTCCCTGTGCCTAATCCCTCACCAGCATACATTGCGTGGCGACACATTCTTGGCAACGAGGGTGCTATAGCCGGTGGTGACGATTCGTGTCGGCATTTAAAAACAGAGTCATGTTTCCGTAATCAGGTGAGAGATAACAGACGTTTAATTGAACTTGCCGCTGTTCTCTGCTTTAGCTCATCATTTTGCAAACATCTTGTCTGAACATGAAAAACGGCACGTTCTGTCCTTTGCTGCACACATTTCTACAAAATTAGTGGCATCCGCGTGCTGAGATGACAATAAAAGATCTACTGCGCGCCCCATTGAAGATCGCCTCGCGTCTGGGGCCTGGTCCGCGTGAACAGGCTGTGCGCTGAACTAAGCCCCCGCGGCTGACCGCCCTATTTCACTGCACATCCCAGTCCTCCGCTTGAGGAGGCGAAGTCTGCTGCTGTGCGCCCAGCGGTCCACTGCTGAGTCCGGGCTCAGCAGCCTACGGTCCACTGATGAGTCCGGGCTCAGCAGCCTACGCAGGGCCCATCAGCTGCGCCGTGTGCACCCGGCGGAGCTGAGGGGCCCATCCGCCCCGATGGCCCATTCACGGACCGTGCGTGTCCGACATCCGCACACAGCCCGCCGACTGTGACAGCCATCCTGTGCAATGTTGAACGTTCACTAACGGGATGTCGACATCTGCGTGCGGCGTGTGCGCACGCGCCTGCACGAGGAGCACCACGCAGAGCATGGGCTAGTGTGGTGATCGCAGTCGACCGTCACTAATTGAGGTCTTTCTGTGATCGGCGTGGGATTTTGACCCGTGCTGACACAAACAGGCTGATGCACTCAGCCGGCACCAGGACTCATAATTCCCCTGCATATGCTTTTTAGCTCACGTCCTGGTTTTAGTTGCACCCGTGCGTCTGGTTTGGGAGCGCACCATTTCAGCCCACGAGTGCTGATCTCAAGCGTGATGCGGAACGGCTCCTGACAGGAGGTATATGATACATGTGAGGTTAACTCGTGTTGACGCATCACTTCAAACGCTTCCAGATGCTTTTGACTGAGCTGTGTTAAATTCCAACTCCACGATTGTTTGGCTTCAGATTTAACGTGGTCAACAATCACTGCATACTTAAAGCAAAACAGTTCTAACGCTGGCGCTGCGTCTGGTTTCATCAACATAACTTTATCCCCGTCATCGGCCACTGAGATGGGCACGTTGAACCGCTCACCAAAACTACGGCGCGACTGGGAAAGAAATCAATATTCTCCTACTGAAGCTTTTGCACCTGCCTCAATTTCCGCATACTCGCGCGTTGAAAGGGCCGCAGCCGAGCTGAATGTTCACTGGGCCTAGCGACGATCGGCCGGACAGGACGTCTGACTGGCATACCCGCTGCCGAGCCGCACCGGTCCCTCGGGCGACTCAGCCGCCCAACTCAGCGCGGCTGACGCTGAACTCAGGCCGGCCGGACGAGGCGAACCCGCGCCCCAGAGCGGAGGACGTGCCTAGGGCTGCGAACCCGCGCCCCAGAGTGGCGAACTCGCACCACAGAACGGCGAACCCGTGCCTCAGAGCGGCGAACCTGTGCTCAAGAACGGCGAACCCGTGCCCCAGAGCGGCGTCATGCACCAAGGCGCTGAGGGCCAAGGCGCCTGCCCCAAGGCACCGAGGCGAGATGGAGTGGGCGATAGTGCGCCGCTATCGCGTCTGCACGCCGGCTTAGTGCGCCGCTATCGCCTCGGCACGCCAGAGCTATCGGGTCCACTAATTCCTGCCGGACTGGTGACGTCATCCCCGCCCGTCAACATGGCCGACCGGCAGCGGCGATAGTGCTCCTCTACTCGGCCGTCGCAGTGCGCTTTGCCCGGCCTGTTACGCCATGTTTGTCTGTCTATTTACGGCCCCACGCGTCTACGCGTTACATGGTTATACCGCCATTACACTGGCGAAGCTTTCAACGCCTTCAGCTTGCCACCTGCCACTTGAATGCTGAGTGTGCAGCTGTGCTGCCGGAGACGCTGAATCAGGATGTGCTGAGATAGTTCTTTGTTTTGGCAAGTGGTCAGTGAGGCTCACATTCTGAATTCGTCACCAAAAATTACTGCGCGACTCAGAAACCAATTGATGGTCACGCACTGAGGCATTGGCAACTGTATCAAATTTCTGCGTTCGCTAGAAACGGACAAGAGCCTGCGTGTTGCTACAACAACAAAAACGTGCGATTCAGATAAGAACTCATCACGCAGTCATTACTCTTGAATTACTCCCTTTCTGTTGTGATGCGTGGAGCCCCGTGCTCTTGAAAGGAATAAGGTAGAGTATAATGATTCATGTAACTGCTACAGACGTATGGAAGAGGCTGGGCTCAAGATGCACAGTTAGTGATGCGATATTTGACACCCTGGACTTGGTGCCGTCTTGACGCTGTCGTCGATTCACCTGTTACGTCGGCATAGCTAAGCGGCTGCTTGGAGCAATCTGATGCACTGCTCTCGTCGTCTCTGGCCTCCTCCGCCTGTCCCAGCTCAGCCTTCACCGCATCGCCACAGGTGGTCCATCCGGTGGCCTGAACGCCTACGACTTGTGGGACGATGAGGAGCATTACACCATCACGGAGGACCGGCTGCGCGAGATCCGGTCCGACATGATGTACCCCTTCAAGTATCCGAACGACTACCAGAGGGACATCAACGACCTGACGCCGCAAATCGACAAGAAGCTCAACTTCCGGTTTCCCTACTACGGCTTTCTCTTCAACTACACCTGGGTACGACCGCAGTCAGGTGTCATGTTATGTCCCTGTCGTGATGCACCCCCGACCCGTGCTGTTGAAACGTGGCGCGTTCCGAACGTAAAAGTATCGGTCATGCCGCAATACTCTTACGCTTTTCTCATAGGTGTCATGTCAAGTGCAGAAGAATGAGTTCGTGTTCGAACATTAAGAGTGAATTCCAACCAATCACCGCATCATGCTGTGGAAAGAAATCAAACTGAATGTGAGTTCTGAAAAATCCTCCTACAGCTATATGCGCACACACACACACAAACATATATTTAGATGTATATATATATATATATATATATATATGTCAAGTGCAGAAGTATATATAAGTAATATATAAGTAATATATAAGTAATATATATATATATATATATATATATATATATATATATATATATATATATATATATATATATATTAACACGTACCAGGGGGGCCGGCTAGATACCCTTCGAGCACCCGAGCGAAGGCTCGGGTGGGGGTCAATTTGACCCCTTGAGATCTCAAGAACTAAGAAAGCTAGAGACACCAAATTTACAGGGTGTGTTGATCTGTACGTGAACTCACTTGGGTCAAACTTTGAGGTTCCTAGATTATGACTTTTAGGTCAAATAAGGTCAAACAAGGTCAAAGTCCAGGTTGATCTCCAAAGTGCCGCCAGAACCTAGGCAGCTGTTTCTAAGCAAAATGTCACGAGCCCATTTGAGGTCGGTGACCTTTTTTGACTTTTTCAAGGTCATGGTAACCAAAATTATGTAAGACCGCTCTGAGTTTTGCATTCCAATAAGCGACAAAGATTACGCTAGGAAGTATGTTCCTAAAACCAAGTGTCGACCGCGGTCATCGTAGAACAATGACCTGTTCTTACCTCTAAGAAGTCAATGGAAGATGTTTAATGCGGTTCCTACCGTCAATAAATTCAAAATGAGCACCAGAAACTATCCCATGCAGCAAGCCTTAGGGTTATAAACCAGCTTGGTTTTGGCCTTGGTCTGACCTTCATACCTGACCTTAGGTCAACATGATGTGTTGAATTGTCATTCAATATTTGTGGTGCCTAAGAAAGCATCTCAGAGATGTATGGCTTCGTCAAACACTCTGTTATTGCATCAGATTGAACGATTCCCTAGAAATTGCCCTAGCTGAAACCATGGCCTGACTTTGACCTGCCATAGGTCAGCAACCTTACAATGTACATCTAAATTTTTAAGATCAAACGATCCGCTATTCAATTTTCTACAGCTATGCAAATTTTTGCGCTGCTACGCCGCGCCGTTTGAAAATTATTCTTGAAAAACTTTCGGGGGGTGGCCAATTTGACCCTCTGCCACCAGAGCGCGTGTTAACGGGCCGACATCATTAAAAATTGTCGTAATGCTTTACGCGTATGTTGTTCACCCGCAACATCATACTCGAGTAAAAAGTATAGAACCTTGAATATAGACAGACCGTATGCACTAATAGTATACATCTCTATCCACATGCATGTTCTTACATCTTCCTCGCTCATTGGCCTGTAACCCACCGGACGCTGGTGAAACTAACGCTTGTCGACGCGGCCACTAGGTATCTCTGCACGGCTTCCTGGGCTTCTCGGTGCCGACCTCGGAGCCGCAGACGTACCCGCTGACGTTCCCGCAGCCGGACTGGCCGGTGAAGAACGACCCCTCCTTCATCGGGCCCTTCTACAGCAAGTGTGTGATGGGCGAGATGGGCGGAGAGGAGACCGACACGCGACGCCCCGGCGTCTACTACAGGTGACCTCCTGCTCCGCGCGCATCACCGTGTCGTCCTGCTGTTGTCCCAGAACGTCGAATATGTGCCGGAGGGTAATGTAGATAGGGATTCATCCTCAGTGGCTTCGGCTGGTGGCGTCGGTCATAGCAGCGTGTGTTTTTATGAAGGGGTGACCGTTTCAGCGGTATGTGCAGGTATGTTACACGTGGGTCAAAAAGCTGTTTGCTGTTGTTACACCCTTCATTCGCACCTTAGCCCTATCGCAAGCAAGACATGTTTGCGCGAGCGCCTCGCTGCACTGAACTTTTACGACAGCCACTTACTGTCAAAAGCCGGCCTCAGGAGAATTGAGCGTCCCAATCGGCCGAGCACGCTGCAGCGCGAGGTCCCGCGCGCGTGACGTGAAGCGGTGTAGTGTAGTGGAGCACGCCGTCACAGCGTTATGTGGTAAGAGCCGGTGTTTTGAATAAGACAGAATGAATTCGACATCATCCTTCAGATGCCTTTCCGCTTGGGCTCCGCTCTATTTGACTGAAACGGCTCGAATGGGAAGAAGGGCTGTAACTGCATGCAGAATATCATTATCAAATCAAGATTTCTAAGAACATTCCTTAAATCAGAACATTAAATTCATGTTCATCGGAAGATTAAATCCTCTTCCACCTCCTCCACACCCTGTCTACCCTCACACGGCGCCCTCTCTGTCCACCCGGTGTTCTGCTGCCGAGCCGCCGCCACCGTCGCCGGCACTACCAGCGTGACCCCAGGGTGGCGCCGCCCCGGCTCGTGCGCGGGCGCCCCGCGCCCTCCACCTCCGCTCACTCTCCCTGCCGCTACTCGCCGCAGGATCGAGCGCGACCTGTACGAGCGGTACGACCAGTTCGGCGTGGAGCTGCGCGAGCGCGCCAAGTGGGACATCCGAGAGGGCATCGTGGGAGCTGAGGCGTTCACCCCCAAGCACATCATCATCACCACCTGGAAGAACATCTCGTTTAACGGCGGCAACGCAAACTCCCGCGCCAGGCGCGTGGTGAGCAACGACCGGCGGGCTGGACCGATGGCGCCGGATGTCCTGGTTGACCGGTGGCGTTGTTGGTGGGTGTCCTGGTTGACCAATGGCGTTGCTGGTGGGTGTCCGGATTGACCAATGACACTGTTGTTGGGTGTCCTTGTTGACCGGTGACGTTATTGGTGAATGTCCGAATTGACCAATGACGTTGTTGGAGGGTGTCCCTGTTGTTGGGTGTCCGGGCTGATCGGAGGCGTTGTTGGCGAGTGTCCTGGTTGGCCGGCGACGTTTGTGGGGATCCTGGTTGACCGATGACGCTGTTGGTAGGTGTCCTGGTTGACCGATGAAGCTGTTGGTGGGTTTCGTGGTTGACTGTGAGTGTGATTTGCTACTTGGCGTGACGCGAGGTGGTGTGCATTTCTTTTCCCGAAGAGAAAACTATACAGGCTATGTATCATGCCCCGGTGGGACATCCGTAATTATCGAATGCTCCCTGATGCGTTACTCATACAGCCACACCCTGTTCGGAATACTGACGCACTGTCGCTGTCTCCCGCCATGGGCAGACGAACACACTCCAGCTGTTGGTGGTGACAGACGAGGTGCGGTCGTACGCGATCTTCAACTACCTGCACATGGGCTGGACGACGCACACGGAAGCGGGCGGTGACATCAACGAGGGACAGGGCGGCATTCCGGCCTACGTGAGTTCCGGCTGTCCCGCGCGGGGTGCCATGGTGCGCGCCAGTCGCCACGGTGACATAGTGCTCCAGTCACCAGCGTTGCCCCCCCCCCCTTCCTCCCCACATTTCTGCTTTAAAAACTGCCCCTGTTGTTTGTGAGCCGGTCCGTCGCAGTTCGCATGTGTCGTTCATTTAACTCAGGAATCGCGACGCTCCCACAGATATCATCATTGAAACCTTTTTGAAGTACGCTCTAGCCCAGCACATCGCTGTGGACACGTATCCCGAGCTGTAAACACGCGTGCACTATGCTGCTCAGGTTTGATGAGCTTAGTCGCGGCAGTTTTCGTTAGAATCCAGCTGACTGGCGTCTCCCCGCCGTCAGGTGGGCTTCAACGCTGGCAACGGCACCAGCGCGTACCCGTACAAGCCCTACTCTCAGACCATGTACATCCGAGACCTCATCTCAACCGGCATGGCCAACGGCTTCCCGGGCCGCCACGTCTTCCGCATCGACGAGAAGATCATGGCCGGCAACTGCCGTCACGAGCTCTGTGAGACCTCGCTGCTGTGCCGGCGTGGCGCGTGAAGTTTTTGATCCGTAGAACCGCGTGGGCAACGCGCTGTCACGAAGTATATGACATCGCCCTGGATATTACGATGTCGCCATCTTCTTACCTTCCTGTACATGTGTTTTGCCTCCATATGTAGGCACATTCAATCCATAAGTTGACGGGGTCTGCCGTACAGCTTTTTCTCTAATGAATGCATTCACTTCCGCTCGAAAACAACATCTGATCGTCTCTCAGCGACCCCTCCAACGCGGCCCAAGGACAGGCGCCTGAGCTAGCACCCATGCCACGTCGACTTGTCCCGTCCTGTGACCTCTCACCCCTTCCCGCCTCCACAGACGGCTCCAACCTGCCGCTGGTGTTCGCCCCGGAGCAGGGCAACATGCTGGGCGGCAGCCTGGTCAACATCTCGGGCCCCTGCTTCGGGCCCAACACCCTGGTCAAGTGCCGCTTCTACGACCGCGAGGTGGAGGGTGTGGTGCGCGACACCAACACGGCCTTCTGCGTGCAGCCGCGCCTCTTCGCCACCGGCTACGTGGACATCGCCGTCTCACTCGACGGCGGACCCTACTACTGGAAGGGGCAGTACTACGTCGGTCAGTGCGCGCGCCTGACGAGCAGGTTTGAGAGGCTGCGCATGCTGCGGGACTAGTGACGTCGTGGTTGTGGCCGGTGACATCATAGATGTGACTGGTGCCGTGATGATAACGAGCTGTGACGTCACCAGTGGTGAGGTTGACAGCAGCGATTCGTGGTTGTGGACTGCTGACACCACGACGATGACCCCATGTGGTTGTGACGAGGCTCAGTTCTACGACCGTGGCGTCGCGTTCTGTCGGTGACGTCACAAACCTTCCTGCGACAGAGACGCCTCTGACGGCGCCTGAGGGCGTCATGTTCGCCAACGACGACTACCAGCTGGCGGAGCCGGGAGCGCTGCGCCTTCAGTGGCTCTGGCACAACCTGACCATGGACCAGAGCGCGCACGTCACCGTCAGCCTCTATGGCTACCGCGAGACGACTAACACGCCCGAGCTGGTCTTTATTGACACGATATTGGTGAGCTTACCAGCCTGACAGGGCCGCTCCGAAGCGGCGTGGTTACAGAAAACTAAACATTCCACCAATGCCGATGGCCATCTACGTGGGACTAGCCAGCCAGCAGTGGTGCCAGCGGAGAACGTCACACTAGTGCTGACCCACCATCTGCCCTTGGTAGGACCAGGCGAGCTTTCGCAACAACCGCTCGGACACTGAATTCTCGTTCAGAATTGTTTGCTTTTGAAGAGCAATCACAACTCGTTGCGGACCGCCTGTACCCTACTCCCGCAGGAGACCAACAACAGGGGCGTCAAGGACATCGCTACCTCCGATTACATGGGCAATGACAATTGGGACTACCTAGACATCGAAGTGGGCCTGCTGCAGATTAATCTGACCAGCCCAGGCACCTACCTATCAGGCCTCAAGAGCTCTCCGTGAGTCGAACGTTATGCTGCCCGGCTGGTGGCAGCTTGCGCTGTACCTGTTGAGGCGGAATCTTCAATGCAGCGACGCAAAAGGCCTTCTCACTGAACATACCTGTCGCAAACTCTGGTGCAGTTATTCTTAGGCTCAACTATTAATGCCCCTAATGTGATGTTCATACCATGTCCATCCAAGTGCAGCCAAAGTAAGATAGCATGATGCCGTGCCAGCAAATACAAGACAGGCCACAATACTCTTCACTTGGATTTCCTCGTTTTACATAATATAGTGGATACTGTGAAGCACTTACGGTACCTTGGAGACTGACACCGTACCGGCCAAAGCAGTATGCGTGAGACCATATCGTCTGGACCATTCGTACATAAATGCATTTCGCACTGCTCATTGACACTGCACATATACACCGCTTAACGCGCGCTCGGGTGGGGGTGAGATTCACCCCCCAAAGGTTTTTCCCAGAATGGTTTCCAAACGGCGCGGCATAGCAGCACCAAATTTTACATAGCTGTAGACAATTAAATAGTGGATCGTCTGGTATCAAAAGCTGAGATGTACTTTGTAGGGTTGCTGACCTATGGCAGATCAAAGCCAGGCCATGATTTCAGCGAAGTCAATTTCTAGGGAATCGTTCAATCTGATGCAACAACGGAGTGTTAGACGAAGCCATACATCTCTGTGACGCTTTCTTAGGCAACACAAACATTGAATGAGCAAGTTACGTTGGCTTGAGGTCAGGTATGAAGATCAGGCCAAGGTCAAAACCAACTTGGTTTATTGCTCTGGGTCTTGCTATATGGGATGGCTTCTGGCGTTCATTTTAAATTTATCGATTGAAGGAACCGCATTATGCATCTTCCATGGACTTTTCAGAGGTCAGAGTAGGTCATTGACCTAGAATGACCCAGGTGACCATTTTTTATTGTTGGAAACATACTGCCTAGCGTTATCTTTGTCGCTTATTCAATTGCAACAATCAAAGCAGTCTTATACAATTTTGGTCACCGTGACCTTCAAGGGCATGAACAAGGTCACTGACGTTAAATGAGCATGCGACCTTTTCCTTACAAAACAGTTATCTAGATTCTGGGGGCGCTTTTGAGACCAACCAGGAATTTGACCTTGTCTGATCCTTTTTAACCAGAAGGTCAACACCTTCGCCTTAAATTTTGACATTAGCGAGTTCACAGTTCACGAGTATATATAGTTCACAGTTCACAGTTCACAGTTCACGAGTACAGATCAACACACTCTGTAAATCTGGCGTCTCTAACTGGCATTTCTTGAGATCTCAGTGGTGTCAAATTGCCCCCCCCCCCCACCCCCCCCCCCCCCCCCACCCGAACGAAGGGTATCTAGGCGGCCACCCTGGCGTATGTTAAAGTTTGCTCGCCGTCGGCAATATGCAACGTAAAGCATGGCTGGTTCGTAGTCTTGGTCACCGTGGTCATCAGCCTCATGACCCAACGAGAGCAGTGACCTGATACGACCTAACGTGACCTGACCCAATGTATGATATAAAGTGTGACTTGACCTGCAGCCTGACCTGTGACCCGCCCGGGACTTGTCAGGTCGCTCGTTCTGTGCCATGACCTGACCTGACCTTACCTGCACTGACCTGCACTGACCTGACCACACCTGGCTGTCTTTGGTAGTACTCTGTGGAGCCGGCCGATCCCGCTGGCCTGGTACTTCGGGCCGCAGTGGAGCCGAGTGTACGGCACGGAGTGGGCCTCCCGCGTTTGTAACCGCTGGATCGAGAACGACCGCAACCTGAAGCACTTCGCCGGCGAGGTAAGAGAGCACAGTGCGCTTTTCTTTATGAAACTAAAGGGGAACCGCTTGGCGTGTTTGCTCGTGGCTATCTGATGGCTCATCGGTGGTCATCAACTAAAGCGTTGCGCTTTCGGTCACAAGCGAATATCAGGGCTGATTAAGGAGCACCGCAAATCCAAGCACTTATCTCAGAGCATTTTAAAAATGTAGGCAAGGGTCTCCAGTCATATTGTCCGATATTTAACTATACTCTGCAACATTGCCACGCCTTGAAACCTGCAAGGAATCATAGGAATCAGTAGTGAAAAATGCAATAAAATCGACTCGGGATTTTCAACGCTGTACCACGTTGGTCTCATTGACGTCCACGAGAGCGTTGAGTGGAGTTCCAGCCATTTTCACGAGCAAAATAAAGGGCCTGTGATCGCAGCCGCCACCACCAGTCCCGGCAGGTCCCGTGCGCCGGCGCCGCCCAGAGTGGCGCCTCTCCCAGCGACACCTGATGCCGTGCCCGCTGATAGGTCGGCTGACTGCCCGCAGGTGATCCGCTGCCCGTGCCGTATCGAGCAGGCCGTGGCCAACAAGGGCCTGTACGTGCCGGACTTCTCCTGCGACCGGGACGGCAACACGGCCTGCAACGAGCACAAGGGCGCCATCCACTGCGTCCGCGCCGGCATGGTCAAGTAGGTGCAGCTGTTGCCAGAGGGGGGGGGGGGAGCTTGGAGGGAAAGCTGGGAGGGCTGGGTCTTAAGCTTGAGTATTAATTTAGTGGACAAAAATTAGAATGCGCGGCTTTCACAGACGAGCGTCATGCGATGACGAAAGTCAAGAGAAACGAAGTCTGAAGGCTAGGTGTAAAGTGATTACTGGAACAAATAATTTCCCACACATTCGTTGACAAATCTTGTTGATCTTTCCATGAAGAAGCAAGATCGCCCTGCTTTTCTATTTAAGTGCACGCTGACAAAACAAAGCCCTGCCTGAGGATGCCGTAGCGCGTGACGCTCAACATCCGCTCCAGTGCCGACGGTGCCGGCCAGCAATGCTGCTACGACATCGACGGCTACCTGATGATGACCTCGGATAGCATGTGGGGCGGCAACCCGCACCGCGCCCACAACCTTGGCATGAGGCCCTTCTACGAAGCCAATAAGGTGAGAGTCTCCGCTTGGAACCTTGGGTTCGGGGCTAAGTTACTTGCGGTAGAAAATAGATTTCATACCGCTGCCATCCATAACAGTGCAGCACGTTATGCATTACACTCTGCCGCCGTTTCCAAAAGAGCGTCATTGACGTGTTTGAAGGCAAGATCAGCACGTTATCCTTGTCGTTGCTGGCGCGGTTCACTTCCGTGGCATTCGCTTTCCTCCGTGCCCCGCCCGCCCACCTGCAGCGGGTTTTCACTGCGCCCTCTCTCGTCAGATGCCGTCGCTGTCGCACTGGTACCACGACGTGGCGCCCTTCTACTCGTGCTGCCGCTGGCAGGGCGAACAGAGCCAAGGCTGCATCACGTACCGCTTCGAACGGCGAGCATCGCAGGATTGCGTCGGCTACCAGCCGCCGTCTGCCGGTAGGAAAGCAAACTGTAGGTTCACGGCCCGACCGGCGAGGGCGTGGAGATTGTTACGGCGACTTGTTACATCTTTGATACAGCAATGAAATCTGTTGAGTGTCGTGGTAGTTAAAGTGTGCAATTTTGTTATCACCGCTTAAATGATGCAAAACGTCACACTGTGAAATAACCGTGATCTGTATCATTTTACGTAGATGTCTACCGTCCAGGGTTACTTCCGCGCCCCACCCAGTACAGTGTTTCCTTCGTCTTCCCACAGCCACGGTGTTCGGGGACCCGCACATATACACTTTCGACGACACCCAGTACACGTTCAACGGCAAGGGCGAGTACGTGCTGACGCGCGTTAACACCAACCGCAACCAGCTGGACGTGCAGGGGCGGTTCGAGGAGGTGCCCGATAATGAACGCGGCGCCGTGCTGGCCACCCAGCTGACTGCCATCGCAGGTCAGGGGTCAAGATTAGCGTCACGAGTCAATGTCAGCAGCGGTTAAATTCGATTGGTGTCATGGTCGGCTAAGGTCAAGGTCTGCTGAGCATGGTTTGCTGAGGTTGTCTGGGGTCATGTTGAGGTCAGCTATTGTCGAGGCGAGCAAAGAGTCACTTTAGATGATAGGGTCCAGCAAGTGTTCACTGAGCGTTCCTTGGTGACAACGGAGAAGCAATGGGGGAGGAGTCCTTTGAAGCTTATCTGGCTTGTCTTCTACCGGCTGAGACCGCACTAAAACACCTTGTTCTCCGCGCGACAGCTCGGGACAACTTCTCTACGACGGTGGAAATTCGTTTGCGTCCGACTGAAGCACAGTGGAGGTACAAGCTGAACGTGCTCGTCAACAACAAGTACCTCTACTTCGATCGGTACCCGGAAAAGATGCAAATTTTCAGAGGTGAGTTGCGAACGAAACGATGCACACGTCCAGGTCATGTCCTACGTCAAGTTAGTCATCTGCGTTGCGTGCACTAGCTGCACTGCGGAAACGTGGCAGCAGAGACGAAGTCATGTGAGACATTCAAAGGTGCCCTAAAACGAGCGTTATGTACGCCGGTGCTACAGCCGGATCTGGTTGTGATAAGGCCGGCCGTTGTTAATCAGTTTTGGATGGCACGGACCACCCCAAGCACGGGTCGTTAAGCACCATGTCGTAGGCGAATAAGTATCCGTTTAAACTATAATTTTACTTGTGGTAATAAGAAGGACGTCGGTGAATGAAACCGAGACAGGCAGCACCTACGATATGTGGCCTGCATCCCCTGGTTTCTCCTCCACAGAATCACTCCCGCTCATTCCGCTGCGGACTGCGCGAGCATAACCGACCTTCCTCCCGACAGGCATGCTGGTGTACGTGCCGACCTACATCCACAACCAGTCGCAGGTGATCGTGCTGTTCCAGTCGGGCGCCGGCGTGGAGGTGCTGGAGAACCAGGGCCAGATGGCTGCCCGGCTCTACCTGCCGCTCTCCTTCATGGTAGGTCACGGCTCTTCGGCGGCCCAGCGACCACGTGGCTACTGCGCTGGTCGCTAGACTTGGAAGTCTGGGCTCGGCTGCCACGGGAAAATGTGACAACAGCTAGATTCTATTCGAGTGCTGCCGATTGCTTCCGGGCCACGATTTTGGACAAGGTGTGACGACGCTAATCAGCTTGGCCTCTTGAGTGGATGACACATAACCTAAAAAGTCCATATTGCCCAATTTCTCGGGTCACCCTGCTATACTGAAGGCAAAGGAAGCTGCCATGGCATCGTTGTGATCGGATGTGTCACTTATTGCGGCTGACGCGCTAACGTTGTCAACGTGTTGGCAGCTGACAACGTCAAGTCTATTACGCTTGACCAACTGCCAGGGCGTATAATGGTTTGGCAATTTGGACTTGCGCAGAGAAGGCCTGGCACGGACCGCCAGTGGCGGATATCCGACTTTGGGCCGTGAGCTGAGCGGTATGTTATGTCGTAATACGATGGCATTTTCAGAACCAAACGAAAGGTCTGTTTGGAAACTGGTCCAATGATCCATCGGACGACTTTGTGATGCCGGACGGCTCCACGATATCCTTCGATGTCAACAACATGGAGCGCCTGTATCAAGACTTTGGTCTCAAGTGTGAGTAAACTACTTATTGTGTGGCTGTGTGATGAGCAAGTGTCTCAGAACAGACAGACAGGGCACCGGGTGGATAGATCCCGCCCCAACTTACAAAGGTCACTGGCTTCCTGGCGTGGCATGTTAAGACACGCTTTTCAAGCACTGTCACCCAAGCAAAATTTTGCGAGCGATTACATCCCTGGCAACAGTCATAACAAATACCCCAGCTCTGGCCATGAGCGCCGAGGACGCTAATACGCCTCCTGGTTTGCAGGGTTGCTGGATGATAAGGAAGACCCGTACAAAGGCGGCTCGCTGTTTTTCCATGAGAACGGCAGGTCATCCAGCAACTACTACGACCCCGGATTCCTGCCCGTGTTTGATAAGATTCCGGACATACCCGACAACAGGTGAGCAGTCTTCCGTACCACCCAAAAATCGGCAGCGTAAGCTCGTGCCGTTCGCTTCAGATGTCAAACGGTTTCGTGCAGCCCAGTCCTTGCCTGCTCTTGTCCATTTGATTGAGCATCTTGTCATGAGCTTATCTGTCTGAGATTTAACAGCCCGATGACAGGAGTATTCGTACCACACTCCGCCTCTGTTCTCTTCAGTCAGCATAGCGCCGTTAAAATCTAACGCCCACAAGTTCAACCAGGTCCTTCGTCTCGGGCACGTGATGCTTAGCAAACGCTGGCCGTAAAGCACATCAATGTCCGGATAGTCCGCGATATTTTAACGACGTTGTGCCGACCAGATGTTTCATCCAAGACGCCGGCATCGTGTCAGACCTTCGGAACAGCACCGATATCGGTGTTCCGTGTCCCAGCCCATCCTCGGACTGCGCTGAGCACTGACCCCGTCCTCGGACTGCAATGGGAATGACCTCGTCCTCGGACTGCACTGAGCACTGACCCCGTCCTCGGACTGCACTGAGCACTGACCCCGTCCTCCGACAGTACTAAGTACTGACCCCGTCCTCAGACTGCACCGAATACTGACCCCGTCCTCGGACTGTACCGAGCACTGACCCCGTCCTCGGACCGTACCGAGTACTGACCCCGTCTTCGAACTGTACTGAATACTGATCCCGTCCTCAAACTGCACCGAGTACTGACCCCGTCCTCGGACTGTAATGAGTGCTGACCCCGTCCTCGGACTGTACCGAGTACTGACCCCGTCCTCGGACTGTACCGAGCACTGACCCCGTCCTCCGACAGTACTAAGTACTGGCCCCGTCCTCAAACTGCACCGAATACTGACCCCGTCCTCGGACTGTACCGAGCACTGACCCCGTCCTCGGACCGTACCGAGTACTGACGCCGTCCTCGGACTGTACTGAATACTGACCCCATCCCCGGACTGTACCGAGCACTGACCCTGACGTCATTCCGCTTCAGCACACTGACGGCCGATGAGGTGAAGCGGGTGTGCGGCGGCTCCTACCAGTGCGCCTACGACTTCATCATGTCCGAGAGGCGCGACGTGGCCGTCTTCTCCAAGTTCTATCAGGACGACTTCGTCAACACCAAGTCACTCGGCCTGCAGACCAGTGAGTGGCCGAATCTCACCTGTGTTGCATCGAGTGAAAACCTATTAGAAATAACGTTCCAGATGGTATTCAAGTACGATCGTTTTGAAGCGCTCAACGGTGAACGTGACCGGTCGACGACAGAAACCTCGAGTACATCGATGCACGGTTCCACATGCGCTATCACGCAAATCCACCTACACCTAACAGTTAATGCCTTTGGACGGATGTCGCGGTCTACACCACAAGTCTCCACTGTCATTTACGCCGGCCACACTTGCGACTGACCCGACCGGCCCGGGCCTCCTGCAGTCACCTCGTGCGGCGCGCTACCGACGCCGCAGAACGGCCGCAAGAACACGTTCGCCTTCACGCCCGGCACCATGGTGAAGTTCGAGTGTGACCCGGGCTACATTCTGGTGGGCGAGGCGCGACGCTGGTGCTACGCCTCGGGCGACTGGAGCTGGCCCGAGGACGGCGAGGTCAGCTGCATCAGTGAGTACCGCTTGCCACGCGTCCACGCCTGTTCGAACTTGCTTCACCTGCTTATTCACCGTACAGTGGAATATTGAGCTGCTCGCTCGGCTGTGCGGGTCACACCCATGAGCGCGTGTTTCTGCACGAGCCCGGAGTGGCCTGATGACCGCTGGCGTGCCGCGCCAGGCGAGTCGCAGTACAAGACGATGTACGTCGGCATCCAGACGGGCATCGTGTTCAGCCTGCTGATCCCGATCGTGGCGGCGCTTTGCTGCTTCGGTTGCAACGTGAAGAATCAGGCCGACGAAATGAGCGCGAACAGCTGGTCACCAACACCGGGTACATGCCCCGCGGGTGAGTCCTGAGGGAGAGAGAGGGGAGGCAGGGAGAGAGAGAGAAAGATAGAGAGAGAGGGAGCGCAGGGGAGTGAGTGAGGGGGGAGAGGGAAAGAGAGATAGGGAGAGAGCGGCAACAATAGCGTCAGTCACAAAGGAGCGTGTTAAAAGAGCATCACATAGGTCACGTGCTCCCCGATATTAATCATCATGCATCGAATCTGCCCGTGGCTGGTTTCATCCCGCGTGGAAAACCATATTAGGGCCGCACATGTCTCCCCCACCGCGGTGGCGCCTCTGAGTGTCCGTCGTGTCGACAGCTCCAGCAGCCACAGCGGCGGTACGCGCAGCTCCTCGTCCATGCCACTGAAGAGCGTAGCCTCCAGCGGCCAGCAGCGGCCCTTCGGCGCGCCCGACATGGAGTCATCGCCGCGCGCTGAGCGTCACACCCCCTCCCCGCTAACCACGCGCCACGAGTCGTCCCACTGATGCGCGAGGAGGCCCGCTGGAGAGAAAAGCGGCCCGCAAGGGCGGCTCGGTAGGGAGAGAGGCCGCCCCCTTGGGAGCGACGCGGCCCGTTAAAGAGAGGGCCCGCTGGGGCTCGAGCTATTCGCCCCAGCAGTGAGGCGTCCCACATAGACATGAGTTGTGCTGCCGAGTCGGCAGTCTTTGGATCAAACTCACGGTGCCTGTCCGTCCGGCGACACTGCGGACGCGCGACGCGAACGCTCCTCAGCTATGCGCGCATCTTGCCCCGATGCGATTGGGGAATGTTGGTGGTCAGGTCATTGAGGAGCGACTGGAGATGTTTGTTTTACGACTAAGACTAAGAGTGGACTGTAATTGTCGAGTTGGCTTTCTTGTGTAGAGCTTCTTGGCAGGAGAGTACGCATCGTGTTATGAAAAAAGCAAAGCACTTACGCTCTTCTAAATCACATGGAACAAACTTGCCATTCGAAAATAGTCGCTTTTACCGAGGCGTCGATAAAAATGGCAGGTCGATGCACTGCTTTCTTCTGGCTGAAACGTCTTGGTCGATTATCGCGAGCATCCTCCCGCGCCATGATTTAAGAATGTGTAGTTTTGTAGTTTTGTTTTATGAACCTAGACCCTGTCAACGCATTTGGAAGTGCCGAGTCTAACTCTAGCAACCATCTTGTCCGAATAGTCTGTGGCCGAGTTCCCGTACTCTTGTCTGCACGTGTCATTCATTTTTTCTACTTTATATGGACGCCTACCCGTAACTGCTGGTGCTCACGTTTTGTATTCGTGCGTGAAGTGCGGCGATGGGGATCTAGTCACCTGGCTCCCAACGCGCGGTGTCACCACCACCGCCTGGGAACCATGTAATCTTTGGAGCCATTTGAAAGCAACTGCGTATGCTCGCGACGCGCAATGTTAAGGTCTAATCAGTCAAATCCTGGATGAAAGTTAGTGTTACTGAATGTCAGCGTAACCGACAGAGATTTTTGCGTCAACTGAGTGCAGTGCTGTGCGAGTGTCAAAAAACAGCCTGAAGCTGTTCGGAACAGCTGCTGTTTCCGCGTGTTTCATACGGCCATGCCAGCCAGCTGTGCAGCTACCCGATGGTGCTAACACAGCTCACCAGTCTGGCCCAAGTCCTGAATGCATGTGTATCCATGCCTTTTGCTCTATCCCTGT